TTTATTTTTGTTACGTTTATTTGTATTAATAACTGTTGTTATTTGATTATTTATTTCGTAACAATGGAGAGGATGTTGCGCCTTTCCATCCAAGTTCTGTCTTACATAGACTTCCTGACTGTGAGTCTATACAAGGTATCCGACTTGCCTGAGGGTCGGGTACCAGAGACGGAACAGGCCGACATTCAGGACAGGCTTACAGCTGCCCTGAACGCGGCGTTGAGGGCATCGGCGGCCTTACAGGTCTCCCTGCTCGCCAATGTCGTGTTGGCTAGGCGATTTTCTATTTTAAAGAATCGCCCAGTCGAAGAACCTTATCTTTCCCGTCTATTGACTGCCCCCTTCACTGGCTCTACCCTGTTCGGGGGAGCTCTTCCTTCTGTCCAGAAGGATATAAAGGAGGACTCGGTCGCCTCAGCACTCTTGGTGAAGAGGTTTCGTTCCGAGAAGGCCAGCACCTCGCAGGGGTCAGCGCCTCCCAAGAAGAGGGCTAAGTTTTCGGCTGGGCAGGCGTCTGCCCAACCCAAATCGCAGCCATACTTCAAGGGCAATAAGGGGAAAGGTAAGAAAGGTAAGAAACCTCCTGGGGGCAAGAAGAAGGGTTCCTGACTCTTTCTTCTCCTTGACCGAGACAGAACAGGGGTCTGGCGGGGTGGACGGCGGTCCTCCCGTTCAGGTCTCTTGTCCTTCTCCCGCAGGCTCAGGCTCCGGATGGGCGGACGATTCTCTGTTTTGGCAGGGACTCGATCTGCCCCAGCCAGAGCTTCCTGTGGGCGGGCGTCTCTCCGCTTTCCTATCCCAGTGGCAGGAAATTACGGAGGACGTGTGGACGTTGTCGGTGGTCAAGGAGGGTCTAGGTATTCCCCTTCTTCAGGATCCGCCTCTTACCGCCCAGCCGATCTTCTTTCCTCCTCCGGGGGATTTGGAGAAGGCTCGGGCGATCCAGGAGGAAGTAAGGACCTTGCTTGCCAAGGGCGCGGTAGAGGAGATTCCTATGTCGGAAATCACTCCCGGCTTCTACTCCCGAATGTTTCTCGTTCGGAAGAAGTCCGGAGAGTGGCGCCCGATCATAGATCTCAGTGCCTTCAACAGGCACGTAGATTCTCCTCACTTCAAGATGGAGACCCCACGGGGCATCATGGCCTCCGTGAGGGAAGGGATGTGGGCAACTTCAGTAGATCTGAAGGACGCCTATTTCCATATCCCCATCAAGAAGTCGGCACGGAAGTTCCTCCGTTTCACGTGCAACGGCAAGGTCTTCCAATTCCGGGCCATGCCCTTCGGGCTGACGACAGCTCCCTTGGTGTTCACCAAGCTGCTGCAGGTAGTCGTGGGATTCCTTCACTCTCGCGGAATAGACGTCCACATCTATTTCGACGACTCCCTCATGCTTCACAGGGTGAGGGAATCGTTAGTGAAGGATACCAGGCTGGTCCTGAAAGTCTTACTCAAAGTCGGCTTCATTCCTTCCAGAGAGAAGTCAGAGGTTTCCCCATCTCAGGACTTTGTCTTCCTGGGGAATCGTTTCGATACGGTTCTGGGCATAGCCCTACCACCGGTGGAGAAGTTCGAGAAGGCCAGGGCTCTAGCTCTGTCCTTCATCGAACGGTCGCAGGTCCAGGTACGTTGGTTCCTCAGTTTTCTGGGGTATCTCAACGCCCTGGCAGATGTGGTCCCCCTAGGGAGACTTCACATCAGACCTCTCCAGATGTTCCTCCTGTCCAACTGGGTTCCGTCATCCAGGAAGTGGGAGGCCTGGATAACTCTCACTCAGTCGGTCAGGGAGTTCGCTCGCTGGTGGACCATTCGGGAGAATGTTCTCCGCGGGGTTCCTCTGACCAAGCCTGTCCCCTCTATGACCCTGTTCACGGATGCTTCCATGACAGGATGGGGAGCTTACCTCGACGGCCATTGTCGCTCGGGGGAGTGGTCTGGGGATCAGCTCTCGGAGCACATCAACGTGCTCGAGATGAGGGCAGTTCTTTTGGCACTGCAATCCTTTCGGGGATTCCTGCAGTCCAAGGCGATTTGTGTGGCTACCGACAACTCTACAGTTGTCGCGTATCTGGAGAGACAAGGGGGCACCAGGTCTCACATCCTGTGTGCCCTCTCCATCCGCATCCTTCTTCTCTGTCAGGAGATGCAATTGTCCATTACGGTCAAGCATCTTCCGGGCAGGTTGAATGTGTTGGCGGATACCCTCTCCAGGCGCCGCCAACCGGTGTTGACGGAATGGCAGCTGTGTCCCTCGGTCTTCCGGGGAATTTGTCAGGTGTGGGACAGACCTTTGATAGATCTGTTTGCCACTTCTCTGAACAATCAGCTGCCAACCTTCGTCTCTCCGGTCCCAGATCCGAAGGCTTGGGCTGTGGACGCCCTTTCTCTGGACTGGGACGGGATGCATGCTTATGCATTCCCTCCCTTCAACCTGGTGGGCAGGGTGCTTCAGAAGTTCAGGGAGCATCACTGCTCCTTACTTCTGATAGCCCCCCTGTGGCCGAGGCAGCCTTGGTTTCCGGAGCTCTTGTCGTTTCTGGTGGAGGAGCCACTGGCTCTCCCCACCAGACCGAATCTCCTACGTCAGCCTCGGTCCAGGACGACACACTCTCGACCAGAGATCCTCCACCTTCACGCGTGGAGGCTATCTCTGGAAGCCTCGCCAAGGCAGGCTTTTCTCGAGAGGTGTCAGATCGCATCGCGCGATCTATCAGGGCTTCCTCTTCTGCCGTCTACCAGTCCAGATGGAAGATCTTCTGTGATTGGTGTGTCGGCAGGGAGGTTGATCCATTCGAAGCCTCTGTTCAGCTGATTGCGGATTTCCTACTCTCTCTGTTTAGGGACCGCAATCTGGCACCTGGCACTATTGCTGGCTATAGGACAGCAATTGCCAGTGTCTTGGCTTTTTACGGCAGGAAGGAGATAGGTTCTTCCTCATCTCTTTCTGCCCTAATCAGAGGCTTCGCTTTGGATAGACCCAGAGTTCGGCAGCTGGCCCCGCAGTGGAATTTAGCCTTGGTGCTAGATTCCCTGACGAGGTCACCTTACGAGCCTATGGAGTCTGCCTCTTTGAAGTTTCTAACTTTTAAGACAGTCTTCCTTTTGGCTCTGGCCTCTGGACGAGGAGGAGTGAAGTGCACGCCCTGTCGTCACTTCCTTCCTGCCTTCGTTGGTCCAGAGGCTACGCTGCCGTTACTCTTTTAACTGATCCTTCCTTCCTTGCGAAGAATCAAGTCCCGGGGTTCTCGCCCGATCCCATCAAGATTCCGGCTTTGACTAGCTCGGAGGAGAGGGATAGATTGCTTTGTCCCTGTAGGGCTCTTAGGTTTTATCTCGATAAAACCAGGGGGGGCGGGGCTCCAGATCCCGTCTATTTTTTCCTATCAAACAGGGACAGCGAGACATCTCCTCCCAGTCGGTGTCTAGGTGGGTATGCCAGGTCATTAAGTATGCTTATGAGCATTCTGATGACCAGGCTCGGGCGAGGGTGAGAGTGCGGGCTCATGAGGTAAGGGCCCTCGCTGCATCCTGGGCCCTTCTTAATGGGTCCTCCTTTCAGGAGGTCATGTCTGCTGCCTTCTGGCGGGGCAGGGATACATTTACAGATTTTTATCTGAGATCCCTGGCTTCCCACTCAGAAGGTTTGTATTCTTTGGGACCTCTGGTGGTTGCACAGTCTGTGGCTGTGCCCCCCCCCCCCCCCGTTAGCCCCGGGGCTCGTCTTTTCCGTTCGGCGGCACGTGGTTTACCTGCTCGGTCACGGGGAGGTTGCCCCTTCTTATTCTATGCACTCTGTCCCCCCTCCCTACTAAGTTTAGTGTGCTAGATGGGCTGCCTGGCTGCTAGTCACCACTACGGTAAGACGAATTCGCATACTAAAGTTATGGTAATTATTACTGAAATGAAATTGAGGTTTTTTAATGTAAAACCAATTTTCATGAGGTAATACTTACCATAACTTTATGGAGTCCCACCCTTTCCTCCCCTCTTCCTATCTGCCTGACTGCCCCTCTACGGGTGCTACATAAAGGCTAAGAGGAAGGGAAATAACTCTATGTTCATGACGTGAAGGCTCATGGTCGTAGGGAGGGCGGGATTTTTGAATCTTTTGTTTTTGGGATACAAAGATGGGTGTAGGTACCATATTTGCATACTAAAGTTATGGTAAGTATTACCTCATGAAAATTGGTTTTACATTAAAAAACCTCAATTTAAGACTGCCCAAACAGTAACCTCCAACACAATGCAAAAATATTCTTCAGAAAAATATGAAACCACTTCAGCATGACAAGACCAATTTTAGCAAGGATTTATTTTTTTAACTTTAACTAAAACCGTTACAATGGAGTGATCTAATGAACAAAAATAGCATCCATAGCCACACCTAGAAACTGTGTACTGCTACCTCAATCTACGAGCTAAATTCCTCCAGTACATGACAAATTAAGACAACAAACCATAACAATGAAAATCAATAATAGCATCCTTTTTACTTTTTACTTTTTCAATCAGCTCCAAAATACTTTATTAGAAATTAGAGAATTTACCATTGAGAACTTCTTCGGGAAAATCGAAAGCAAGATTTGTTTAAGGTCGTGCGGACGGACGAGGAACGATTTGAATTGTCCACCATCATATATTGTTGGGATAAATATGATGATATATATACATATATATAATACAACGAACGCAGAAATCCTATATGATATTCACTTCTCTAATCTGCCGCTAGCTATCAAGGCAGTGTAAGAAATCATTTACACATTGTGTGACGAAGTATAATAATTCTCAAAGTGTAGGCATAAAAGATAATCAATATTAGCTCATTAAATATAACACAAGTCTGTAGAATTTGTTGCAATATCATATGATAAAAAGCATGATAGTTTTTCCTACGAACCAAAACTTACATACCTTCAATCAATGTTAACAATGATATCAGACCAAGAATACATGTCTACCATAACAAGGACAAAGTAATTTGATGTATGTGAGCTACTAACCTTTGTCTTGACCAGGGACCCATCTTCCTCCAATCACACCCCAGTCGCCCTTGTTATCTTTGATTAAGAATGCACGCTCGCCGCTGACTGGTGACAAGCATACGTCACGTCCTATGTTAGATACCTATAACAAATAAATTTTTTGGCATTGATTAAAATCATTTTGAAATATGATATTCACTGTTTTTCTTTATATAAATATCCATTTTAAGACCAATCAGTCCAAAGACTAAACACAAAGAATATTTCATCACGGCAATTAATGTCTTTTTGATGACTGAAAATTAAATTTCTTCGCTGAAAAACGGATGTTATGAATGTCAAGCGAGTACATTATCAAAATGATTCAAGACATTGAAATAGACGATAATATCATATTGCCCAAGAACTGTTAGAGATGCAGAGAAAAGTTGGGATATTGGGACGGTATAAAAAAACGTTTCTTGTAAAAGAGGATTCTATAGTATACCGAACAAAGTAAACTTTTATCACCGTGTGGTGTAAATACAAACCAGATATGTTAAAATGATCATAACGTAGTGTTCAGTTGTTTACACGAAGGATGGATGTAAGGATGAAGAGGTGACATGTTATGCCTCGTCTTATTAGAGGTTTTACAATATCGATATGGTATTGTGCAGAAACGGTGTGTTGCTCGCAACGTTCGAAGAACACCATATTCACCTCCTTCCGTCAAATTGTATGGTCATTATACAAAAGAGGTCGACTACCATGGGGACTTTATTAATGATGTGACAAGAATTCGACTACTTAAGTCTAGTTATGACAGCTGACTTAGAGGTTGTTATATGTCAAAGTTAACACTAATCGAGACAATTATGTTTGCCTTGTGTCTCGAATCTGTGTCTACACACCAAACACTAGCTCTACATAAAGTGCAACTTTTTTTATTTTGAGTGTCTACACCTGGCCCTACTTGTATAAAACATTTCAACTTGAGATTTCCTCAAGTCGAGATTTTCCTCAGCTGATATCTCCTCAAAAACGGCTTGTATAAAATTTTCCCAAGGAAGGCATCGGCTAGGATGTCCTGAAATTCCTTGAGGAATTTTCATACAAGATATTTTCAAGGAGATATTAGCTGAGGAAAATCTCGACTTGAGGAAATCTCAAGTTGAGATGTTTTATACAAGTGGGGCCTGGTGAGGTTATGAAACCGTTCCTAATTGGAACTCACTAATTTGTTATCATGAAAGTATTGTCAGTTTTTAGACAGGTGTAGTGCTAGGTAGGATTTTTTTGTTTTTTGGTTTTTGTTTTGTTTTATACAAGTTTTCTTTCTCTTAGTTACTGTAATGGTTATGTAGTTAATAGATATAAATGTAAGGATGTACATTTCATAACCAATCTGCTGTACCTGTATATCACAAACATGACCTAAAATTTTAGGGAAAATGGAAATCAACAGTTTCCTGTTACCAGAATGTGTGTATGAAGGATTATCTGTATTATCACCCATGTTTATAAAACATATTACAAGATATCGCTAGCAAAAAAAAAAAAAAAAAAAAATGGTGAGTTGATTCCTTTAAAAAAGGCATCTGATTTCCTCATCAAAGAAATATCAGGTAAATTTTCGCTTATAATATACGTTTCTAGACAACTGAACCTTTTCACATCCTATTACAAATTGGGATGTTTTACACACAACTCTAAATTCTTTTGACCATCTCTATCAACAACATTTTCCAGACACCTGATCCATTGTCTCCTTTTCAATCTAGTTAATCTGCTACGAATCAAGAACTTTTTCATTGTCCTGTTAAGATTAGAATTCAACTTCATATTGTACCGTCGTGTTTTATTTGCCAATGCGGCGGTATCAAAAATTATCCAAGAAAAGGGTCCATTATGCAAATGTCAAACAATTTTTGCAATTTACACGTAATCCGAAGTATTTTTAATATTAAGGATCTAACGGATAAAGCTATTTAAATTAAGGGTATACTCCATTTTTTAATAATATTAAAGATGTTCCTTAAATATCGTCAGATTTCGTTTTCTTATAAAAAGAAGTTTCAATACCATGATATATAGCACTTGATTAAATCTTAACTATCACATTTCTATCGAGTACGCCAACTAGATTTTTCCAAATTGATTTCCCCCTGCTTTTCTTTTGTTTTATGAGAGTCCGATGTCAAAGAAAAGAGCACCACCATATCCTTTCATTGTCAATAATAAAAACGAGAAATCTAATGATCGATTTGTATATGTTACTCTCTCAGGGCTGAATGAATAGTTTTCTACATTCAACCCTGGCACTGATTTCTACATATATATATCGTTCCTTAAAGGTTATCATTTGTGACCCTCCAATTCACCCTAGTACAACCTTTTTTCTCCACTTTGAAAATTATTCTATTTGCGATCTCTACTGACCACTAAGAGACTCTTATATTAGGCCCTGTAGTTTCACGCATTTGGGTTTCAGACGCCAAAGCTTCCAGAATAATTTGAAACATATAATTTAATTACATGAATATAAGTGAGCATATTGAACATCCTTGTTGTACTCCTGAAATTTTAAATATTCTTAGATTTTAATTAAATGTAACTGGAGTTACGAGTATCAAATAATTATATGGTTTACTTTGCTACCTAGTCGATGGAAAATTGTATTTCTAAAACTCTTGAATTTTATTGCTTTCGTATACGAAAAAGATAATGGAAAAATCAGCCATATCTAAGATAACAGCTTTGTTAAGCCAGGACGCATCAAATTTCTAAGTGGGGTTGTCTTTTAATCCTGCATACTGAAAATTATTATCGAATTGATTGGGGATTGTAAAACAAGCTGAAAGCTTATTTTCATTTTATAAATAAAATTTCACTTTGAAATGCTTTTCTGGTATTTATGTTGTGTTGTGATGAGTTTTATATGTCCCTTTGCTTACCTGTCCCGGAAGTGGCAAATGAGTCGAGTCAATACTATTTGCCAGGGTCACTAACCGATTTTCCCTGTCATAAACTTGAACGGAAGAGCGGATATGGTTGACGTTGTGATTCACACGCACCTTAAATATAGCTTGACCCGAGAGATCCAACAGTCTGTGAAAAGAAAGACCGGATGTCAAATTGAAGTGGCAAAGATTAGCACTTTTTTTCACGTTACTAAAAATGTCCATGTTAGAATGTTAAAAATAGCACTGTTCGTGTAACCTTTCATAACATTTCGTATCTAAACGATATTTTACAACAACAAAAATGGAAAGTTTAATACATGCAACTGAAGCTATTAAATTGGTATGTGTATATACAGTCGGTCGTAAAAATTCCACTACCTATTTTTAAATTTTCAACTTTCATCTTTTGACCGATTTACCTGTGTGTCGCTATGCTGCTGGCACAACATTTATCAGCTCCCTCCTTCCACTTCTGTAAAGGTTCCTGGAGGTCAAAATTAGCGGGCTCTTTATATTCGCCGAACTCGCCAACCTCCAGCGAAAAGTCCTGTGTTACGGTAATCGCTTTAACACCTCCATCAACATACAGTTTATTTTCACTCTCCTCAGACTGAAAAGGGATCTCTTTAGAGAAGTTTGATTGGTATCTGTATACCAAATGTTTGAATATTGCTGCACTTTCAATCGTCACACATGTCACTTCCGCCTTTCGTCCTAATAAACCAGATTTCCTAACCATAACGACATCTAACGCATCACCTCTCTGCATATTAAATGTCGCCTTTTTCAAATACTCCTCCGCCCATACTAAATAAGGTCCTTTGAGTTCTACAATTAACTTCCTTTCAGAAGTTCCTGCAATTACCCGATAAAGCAGCACAGAAAACTTGGCCTTGTAGCCCGCCGGGTTTGTTTGCAATGCTACACAATGTATTGAAACAGAAATCGGAGGATCTTCTGCGTCGACGTCTGAAGTGTCTATGGTAAAGTCGGACATGGTGCCTCTGGAAGATGGTCCCCTGTACATTGCTCCCGGAGAACTGTAGTTTTCCCCGAATGTCTCCTTCCACAACTTACACGTGTTCGCGTACGAGGTGGTCAACACCGAACCAGGAGACCTGTCATCAGTAGAATCGTCATGATTCAATACTCGACCCAAAATGCGTTCCGTATCTTGTCGGTACGTCAAAGGAAAAAGTTGATGTGTGTGCCAAACTAGATCGTTGTCATAGCATGGTACCAAAAACGTCTTTCGGTGCTTTTTCATCATGTAAAGGAACTGTTGGTAGCGGAGCACGCACCTGGCGATGAATTGGCGGTCCCGGTAGTGCGGAAGTGACACGTTGTAGTAGAAAAGATACTGACGTCCAACAGCAGCTCTGATGTCGTACTTAAGTTGTGGCGTGAATTTCCTACCATCGTCAATGGTATCATCTTCCTGCAGTTCTTTTCCAACGGGAAGATGGATTTGGAACGGCTCTTTCTCTCCGTATTTTTCCTGCCATAACTCTCTGGATACTTCTTTGGCTTTTTTTCGGTCCTCTCTACTCAGAAGGTGATGGTTTACGATTTCCCCAACATACATATCGCAATCGCGTTTGTAGGCCAAAGGAGACAGTATGTGACAGTGCCAAACCCATTCAATGTCTAACGGTGCCGCTAATAATTTGTCTTTATGCTCTGCTACCAACGGAAGCCATAATTTCTCGTATCTACGCAAAGCTTCGTCAAGATGTTTTCCCTGGCGCAGACAGGGGTACTGGTCGACTCTGCTGAGAATATCCAGATGGTAAAGCACCGCATCTACCAAATTTACACTAAACTGCAGCTTGCCCGCCTCTTCAATGGCAACCTTGCCACTACTTTTCTGTAAATTATTTTGTTGTTCCTCCATTATGCGCTGTTCTAGATTACCCCATGATGAAATTCCCTCATGTCTGCATTGTACATCTGAAAGTAATCGATGTTTTTCTTTTTATAAATGCGTGCAAAGTTCCTAATTCGGATTCGTAGTTCTAATATTTAAGTTGTAATGTGCATGTATATTTCTAATCATTTCTGATACATACAACTCATTAACAGCCCTTGGATTTTAACTTCTAGCTTCCCAACAAATCACAAGATAATTCTATATCCCTACCTAAGTTTCAGACGAAAATAACTTGAAAGTTAAATGCAGGCTATCAATATCAAGCCATAAAAACATAGTTGTGGACTCGTATGCCCTGACAAGACTAAATGCAATTGCTAAAAACGAAAAAAGATGTGTATACTATGGCATCTGCACAAATAATCAATGATATTGATACATGCAACTACACTCAAAGATATATGCTGCACATGTTTGTTACAAACTCAATTCCAAGATTAGATTACAGTATGTTGTGGCCCGTTTCTTTGTGCATCGATGCCAAGACAAATCCATCCTGAAAAGGTAATATATTGAGTCATGGGATATGATGACATTTATAATTCAAATTGTTAAATTGAGTTCGTTGAAATCTCATCCGCTACTTTCTTGGTTGAATGATCTGCATTGCAATACTGTAAAAATGCACGAGACAGATTTTTTTTTCTTAATTTGATCTTTTCCGAAATAAAGAGATATATTACGGAAAGGCACGCTACAATTGAGAATCTTGAAGTCTTTCGTTATAAAAATACTCATTATTACCGATGTTCGACGAATTGAATTTTTAAAAGAATCATGCCCCTTAAAAAAATATTTACTGAAGTGATAAATAATGAAAGCGATTTCGTTCTTTCTCGAATATGACCATGGCATATCAGCTTTTCCTGATTCAAAGAGTAATGCTAATTTTGCTTTTCGTGAGAGTTTTTGACTAAATAAATGCGGTAAAACGTGGGGTGATAGCGGTCCATGATCTAGCATCTTACTCTTTTCGATCGTCGTTTCATATCATCGTTTTCGAAATGACGACCAAAGTGAGAGTAACTATAAACGATAGGCCCTACCGCAAATGATTGCTATGACTTCCAGATTCCGTAGGTTGGGGCCTCTTATGGTTCTGTAGTACTACTGACTTGGGTGAGGGGAGAGATAAACCGCCCTTCGTTTCTCTCTAATAGTGCAACCTGTTATCGAATTGTTAGCATAATAGGATACTATAATGAAATGTCAGTTTACAAGTCACGTGTCACAGATGTCGAGATTCACATTCCAAATCTGCCGTATACACAAGTTCAATTCCAATTTTCGAATTTACTACAACGTATAACGTGTATTGTAATATAAGAATGTAGTAAAGATATAAACTGCTTTGTCAAGTACAGAAATGCAGCGCTCGGCGAAAAGATTCACATTTTCGTTGTTGCTACAATACAAATGGCAATGTTGGAAGTTTTGGTACACAGGTTACACATTGTCAAAAATAGAGCTGCAATCAAGCGAGTTACATTCTCATCAATACGATGACAGGACTACAAATTATAGTCACAAACTACAATATAATAACTAACATTTTCACATTTGCAAAAACAGAATCGCAATGTTAGAATGTCAACTCTTTTGAACCATTTGGCCTTCCATAAAAATACGTTACAAACAGTAATATATAGTGGCATATTGCACGTGTTCAACCTACAATCAGGATGGAAAATACTTTTCCTGTTGAGACTTTTAGAATAAACTTATTAAGCGCAAGCAGATCGGACATACTTGCCTAACACCGCGTGAGAGGTATTTACTATCAGTAAAAAGATGTATGTAAAGCTGAAATTGAATTACATGAAACTAAATTAATTCAATACCATATATCAGACAAGTTAAAATATCTACATGGATTGAATTAATCAGCCTTTTTGGCCGGAATTACGTCGCGTCAATTCTTGTTCTTGTAAAAATGTCGAACTGAAAGTTTCAGAAAATGTCAGCGAGATGCGGGTCTTTATAATGTACCCAAGTCGATGCCCTCATCGTTCGAGGATTTTTTTTATTATTATTCTTTCTACGTGTCAGTTTAGAACAGAATGAAAATTCATTTCTCTGTAAGTAGGCCTACATATTATTGTATGCAGATATAACATGTATACAATCAATCAATCAATATATTTATATATATATCATAAAAATGTTAGTTAAACGTCTTACGCATGAGATATAAAATTTACGTAGAAATTTCTCGAACATTTTTTAACGACGAATGTTCGTTTACGTCATACCTAAAACGTTGTGCTAATTGGCTAAAATCGCAGTGTTCAGGGAATATTTTCTATTAACAGACATAATATCAAGAGGATTAAGATGTGTTTTGAATTAACGTAACGATAATATCAATTTTATTTCTAATGGTAGTTTAGGCCAGGATGCAGAAGCACTAAGTGCGACACAGATTGCAAATGACTCTTAAATGCGTTTGTGCCTGGAATATTTAATCCCTCTTGCAGGCAGAACCAGGAAAACGGATCAAAATAGCACAACCCATGGAAGGGGGATCAACTCTAACAAGGAAACGGTAATAATATTCCCAACCTTTTATGTGTCCATAAACCACCGATGATATTAGCTCAGTAAGGCCTTCATAATTGTTGTCAGACCATTCGTGATATTCTATCATCAATGTTCATTTCTCCTTTTTTCTAATTTTTTTTTATTTGTAAACGATCATGTATCTGATGAGTGCTAAAGACGTCATACCGAGGAAAAAACACCTTTTCTATATTTAGCTCTCTTTAATAACGGATTCCGCGCCAACTAATGATTATACTGTGATTTGACCACGTTACGTGGCGTTTCTTCAACTATGACGTATAATGATTTTTTTTTTTTTTTAATTATCTTTAAACCAAATGGAGCATGAGTGACCCCGTCGGTATCAAAGGAGTGGTTTGGAACTTCACATTGTTACTGGCTTCGTTAAGAGGTATATTCGTGATACAAGAAATTAAATCGAATTCCTGTCTGCAGAATCTTTGGTAAAAGAACCTAAAAAATCGAAGTTCTGTCTGAAGAATATTTTCAATTCCCACGAGAGTTAGGCAAGGCTCTCCAATTTTGTTCTTTCCTCTTTTGTAAACATTTCAATTAAAACTCTGGAAGTTAAGCCCGAGAATCTCGCACTGTGATGAAACACACAAAATCAGCAGGAACAACATTCATGGATATATTGTATAGCTATTTTTTCATAAAAGCAGTGATTAAATATTTAAGAATACACACTTTTTTATTGCAACTTATATTAATCACTCTTGTCGGCCTGGATGTACGCGCGCGATAGATTTTATTGTGGGAGGAAACCGGGTTACCCAGAGAAAACGCGCGTGGTCGAACAGGTGATTTCTCTACATTTTCACATCCGTTCGAGGAATCGAACCTCGGACGGCTAGGTGAAAGGAGAGAGTTACCAGTGCGCCATCAGTCACCCTAAATTAGGTATAAAGCGCACATTTATTTCAGTGGAAGAGATCTAAAATAAAGACAAGAGAATAGGAGAACTGATGGATGATTTCCGAATAAATATTTAAAGTTTCATGTTGATACCTCTTACAGTTTATTGTTTTAATTATGAAAAACAAAGGGCAATAAATCCTAAATTACGCAACAAAGTGTTATGGTTCTTGAACACTGAAATTTTCCTTGTTAAGATATATCTATTCATGTATTTCATGTTAATACCTCTCATATTTTTGTGATATGCTCCGAACAAAATTATTACGGACGAACAAATTGATAAACGGACGGACGGACAACTCGGCGACTATATACTCTCCCTTCGGGATAAAGGCTTGTTAACGGTATCAGGATTTAAACAATTATTCGAGGAAACTACAGCAAAACAAGAACATGGAGGTTCCGGAAGGGTAAGAGACTCTTCGGCTTCATCGACGACCTCCGCTTTGTAAATCTGGGTCAATCTAAGTAAGAACTGTCGCGTTCTCATATTAGAATACCGTAAATAACAAGGGAACCACAAAGCACACAAATGAGTATAAAACAAGTAGATAGGATATTTCCCTAGGAGATCATTATGACAAACGTAAAATTTTCCCAGCATCTTCATCAACCTGCATTTCTTGAAACCCTGTGTTGTGGTAGTTCCTGGTGCATTTGTGCTAGAAAATGAATTTGGAATATGACTTTGTGCTCACATTCCAAACACAAATATGACCAAGAACATAGTCATTGAGATCCCCTGCCAATGTTCATTTATGAAATATGTAGATTTAAAGTGAGCACCATGAAAAACTAAAGTACTGAAACAATTTATTGTTTATATTTAAAGTTCCATTGAAAGTGATCAATATACTAGCAATTTAGTAGCATAATGCTGTGAATATTAAAACCAGCTTATTATACCTTCATATTCCCTTCTTTTACCCAATGGTAATAAAAGAATATTTGTCACTTAATTTCAGTGATGCTGGATCAATCAATGATTCTATTACAGCTCAATTATGACAAAACAGTGAAATGGTTTTCACACATCTATAAAATACAATACAACATCTTATAGATATGTAAAGTTGCAAGAAAGTTGCTATCAGTACAATAAATCATAACTGGTGATCGTGCAACATCACTTCGAACATTAGACTTCTAAAAACATTTTGGATATTCACTATCATAGGTTTATTAGAGCTCTTTACTAACTGATGAGTAGACCTATTGTTATTGTTCTGTTTCTTATCATTATTTTACGTATTATTCTTCCGAATCGGTAAGAGATACGTTTATATTCTTTTAAAGGTCTCTTATTAATGCTTCTGAAGATATTCTGTGTAAAGCAATCAGCCATGCAGGTCACAGCTGTTCCATTAGATATTTGCACAATTAGTTAATAATCAAACTTAAGAAAGTGGCTAAGGCACTAAGTCTGCTATGCAAGTCTAATAGAAATTTGATAATTCCTTTGAAAGAAGTGTGAAAAGCGATCCCCAAGATTGTTTCAAGAAATCAGCCAATTAGGTAAGAGCACGATGGTTAACAATGCATGGACTTCACGGTTGACCGAACTTGAGTGAGGAGATCATATAAGAAGTTTATGAAGCATCAAAATTCATTTGTTCCTTCAAATGATAACATTCGGAAAGCATTCAGATAAGGGGCTGAAAATTTTCAGCCAGTCAGATCACAGCGGCCTCATAAAATATGCAGAGAATTTGGCGATAATCGAACTTAACAAGGAATTAATGTAATAAGTCTACCAAGCAAGTTTCCTTAAAATCTTATCATTCATTCATAAGATAATGTGCAAAAATATTTCCCAAAGAGTGATGAAAGAAATCAGTCAATCAAGTCACAGCAGCCTCATGAAATATGTGCAGAATTTGCCATTAATCAGTCCTTCAAAAGATACCATGCGGAAAGCACCATACGGACGGACGGACGGAAGTAAGGACGTACGGACGGACAGAAACCATTTTAATACCCCCGTCAATGTTGATTGGCAGGGGATAAAAAATTATTCAATTGTGCCCTCGCTGGGTGACGAATGTCGCGTATGAAAGGAGACCAAAGTTTATCTTATTTACATATAGCTAGGCGCGAGGTGTCTTGTAAAACGCCGGGAAACGTTGTCAATATTTATTGCTATTTGAAAGTTGCCAATTAGGATATAAAATCGAACCTGGTTTTACGGCGTGATGATCCATCAAGGCTCTATCAAGCTGAGTCAAAAAGCTTGCTGCATCACCGTGCATGTTTGGTTGATCTGTTGCCATCTCTTTGACTAGTCCTATTTCTAGAAGTTGTATCTTCCAATTCGTCACCCGAGTGACAGAGAATGTATCTATGGATTCCCGACCGCGGTGTTTTATCGAGCTGTTTCATCTGAACTATTAAACTGAGGGAATCGCACTCAGATGATTTTAGGTGTTGTGATACGTAACACTTGCGGAAAGAAAATAAAATGTGATTAAATCCATTTACCATAAGATATTACTGTGGTGTATTGATGATGATGATGACGACGACGACGACGACGACGACGACGATGATGATGATGATGATGATGATGATGATGATGATGATGATGATGATGGGGTTTTTTTATTAAATATAAGTATTTACAATTTAACCAATCAATTTATTCTATAATATGTGTTAGTGTTTCCTATTTGACAAATGTCCAACCATGCAAATCCTATATTCAAAACTACTAATTTTCAAATTATTATTTTTATGACTCACATGTCAGCCATGAGTAAATATTTCATTGACAAATTTGTGTATATTTTCATAATTCACATTTTTAGATGTCAAACATCCTCCCAGATATAATGATATAACCGATCAACTCCTGCTCAGATGCCAGATGACTACTTCCTTGCATTTTTTGGGCTACAGAAGTCCAAACATGCATGTCTTATATTGAAAAGATGGCGATTTCGAAATTATCACTTTTGATGGCTCATTTCTGATTTTATCTAACTAGCAAGTTGTATACCGAATAAAAAACATGAATCTAATCCTTTAGAAAATATTTACACATAAACACAGGTATCAACCACTTTCGCGCTAGGAATTTATTTTCATTATCATCAAAATATCATTTCCGTTCAAATGATGATTTTATGTAATACCTGTGCAATTCTGGGTCACGGTGATTTTATGATGTCATCAGTTCGAAAGTACAGATACAGATGTGGGTCATTTCAGGTAAGTAAATCTGAGGTCGGATCTGTGCATTTTTTAAAAATTATTGATTTATTTTCTCATTACCGGTATTTCATTGATCAGTTTTAAATGAAACTTGCAGTATGAGAACATTTTAATACATTTATGTATTTGTTTGGTGGCAATTCGTCTACATAGCCTGATAGCGAGAAATAATTCTTAAGGGTTCCGTCGCTAATGTATTAAGGTTATACGTACTATTCAATCCTCTCCCGATAAACAATTGTATTGTTGTGCATGCTCCTGTGCGTATACACCTGCTGTGTTCTATGCAATATATGTACAACTCCTGGGGCCGCCAAATATCAATTATTTTACTGTAGCATATCTAAATACAGTTATGCATTTGTTGGGTTGCGATTCATCAACGTGGCTTAAAGCTATCGAGGTAAGTCAGAAACTAATATTTCGAATAATCGGCTTACAGTTGTATCTACATATAAGCCCGTGGTTAAAGGTAGACACAAGCACGGTAGTCCGTGGCACAAGCAACTGTCTTGCTCCTTTCACAACAGTAGAGCACGTAACTCATTACGTACGTGTAGCATTGTACATATGTTAAACGGTTGAATGAAATTGATGTAACGAAGCTGATCAGACGATGTAAAAGATACAGGGAATCTCAGTAGATTTCCATGTGGTTTGTTGCATTACACGTATAGGAAAATCGCCGAACGATAAACAGTAGGCAGCGTTACAATCAAGGACATACTCGGCTTATACGGATTACAAAGTATCGAACCAAAAATTGAGTACGGTCCTCTCAAGTAACATGTTTGATTCTGGTGCATACTCACCTTCTGATGTTTTCACATACCCGTCTAGACAATCTCTAATGTAAACAATAATACCGGATGTACGAGCGCAGTCTAAGAACGACAACTCTAGGTGCTGAGTGGGACTAATTATAATTAGGTAGCATGCCACAAACTGACACTTAATTCGTCCGTAAACGCAAAGTCATTGGAATTGAAGTTTTTTTTACTTAGATTTTATTCTATGCCAGTGAAACGGGAAAATAGCTACATGCATCTTCAATTATCTTTACATAAACAAGTACAATTATTTGTTTTTTAATTAAAACTGAGATGTCTATGGCAGTTTTCCTTCTTCCGATTAACGACATTCGGTGCGAAATATCGAAATAAAACGTATCAAGATGTAAACTGTTAAAAAAGTAGGTTTCAAAATTTGTAATGAAGAACCACTTTTACACGACGATTACAAGGCTCGGTCAACACAGTAAATAATCAATGTGCTCTATTTTTAAGACAGTCATAGCAGACCTGGTACATTGTTATTGATGGCTATCTATGACTTTATACAAATGTATATACAAAAAAAACATATTTCTTTAACAAACTACGAAACTACGGTTACATAAAAAATTCTCAGCGTAAAAATTGGGAAAACAATAAAAAAATAAATAAATAAATAAATAAATAAATATTTCGAAGCACGATTTTTGGGTTGTCATCAAACCATTTCTGTGACAAGAATAAATTAGTAGTGTGATCAAAGAAATGTCGTAGAAAAACTGAATCGTAGTTCGCAATCAATGCACAGTTAGATAATTACCTTTCATTTAAAGTGAACGGTGCAATTATTCTAGTCATGCCGAAGGTTATTTCATTGTTTTGTAATTAGAGGGACAGACAAACGTCCGATATCACATTACAGTGAAATTATAACAGATCAGATCTTGGAACTGGTACATTAAAACTTATTATTTCATCTATCTGAGTCAAAGATGACAGATCTTGAAAACTGAACTGGTGGAAATGGTAGGCACTCAAAGTGCCAGATCTCGTGCACTGATTTGTGGCTAGCAATCAATACACAATTATGTGATTGCCTTCCATTCAGAGAGTACGGTGCTCGCGATCAATACACAGTTATAAGATTGCCTTTCATTTGCAGAGTACGGTGCCATTCTTTGGGTCATGCCGAAGATAATGAATAAGTTATTTTCTTGTGTTATAATTAGCAAGGTCAAAATAAGCTTTAGTGTTATAAAACATGAATGACTTTGACAGACTCAAAAGTCATTGTAATATTACTTTCAAAAGGATCAATAATTGCCACCAAAAAAACCTACATGAGTAGGACAGCTATGTACATGTAATAACAATACTATATGCAGCTGAAAAACTAGTACGTCAATAGTTTGATATCGTTATTTCTAAAATAGATTTATTTGGATGGAATGGCGTATTATTATCATAGTTGTACTTTATCATGATTCGACGTCTTCATGAATTCAGAGGAATACGAAATTTCCTAGATGTTTTGAAAAAAAAGAACAAGAAAATGCCGAAGTGCCGACATAATAATTACCCTAATTCAAATTCAATAAATCTAGGGCAAAATATTTCAAAAAGAAAATATTTACAGAGATTCCTGAGAATGTACCATAAGACGATGTGTTCCGGAAGAGTAAGCGTCTTCTGTTTCATCGGCTACAGTCGCCGTGTAAATCATTTCGTTTTAGTGACTGACAGTGATGGTATATACAGTCACTGAAAAGGCTACCTGTATATGAAGGTCGTCTGTCTGTAAAGGCCACTTTTTTAGTTTCCTATATAGTGCAATTCGTAGAAATTTAACCTGTGCCACATGTGTATATAGGTAACTTTTCTCTGTTCCCTTGAGTGGCCTTTATAGACAGGTTTTTACTGTACATATCTAGTAGAAATCTGAAATCATGTACCACTGCGATAAGTCCAGTTATTATGATAAGACCCGATGCACTTTCCAGGTGGATTGCAAGCAAATCAACCCTTTGATCAGATGTATATGACATCCGGTATACATCCCAGTACGTCTTCAAAAATAAAAAAAAATATGACATTATCAATTTCTTTCGTGATTTATGACATATTTACACTTTTGAAGCAGACAATATATCGCTGATTTAAGGGGTACTTCAGAGATCGATTTTCGATCTGATGTCTTTGATGATTTTAATGGTGCCATTAGTTACTATATTAATGAAGCAATCTTATAAACTTATACAAAGTGAAACAAAATCATATTTAATATGTGGTATGTAACAACAATGTAAAGAAGTTTGACTGCAGTGGATTAGAAATTTGAAGGACAATACCAAATCAGTTAAAAATAGATTTACCTGAATGCATTTTATCTTTCTTTGGTCGCTGGAATCTTAAAGGGTAGTGTATTTTGTTTTATTAAAGCAGTGGAAAGTCTTGGAAGTAAATAAAAAACCTTACCGATAGAACACGAGAAGTTTAAAATAGATGTTGTTTAGGAAAGCTATAATTAAACAAATATATTACAAAATGGCCGCCATGGATGCCACATTAACGTTTTCACAAGGTCGAAAAATAACAACACTTTGTTAACTCCACTACTTTATCATTCCGGCCAACTGATTTTCAGAGCAATGACATCAGTGGAGCTGGAGAAGAAGTTTAAGATGATTTTTCAAGATGGTAACCATAACAACCTGTAAAATAAGAGCACTTTGTCAGACCTATCTCGGAATCGCTTCAAGGAAGTCAAATCCTAACGACAGAAATTGTAAAGAAGTTTTCTTTAAATGAAAATTTATCACACAACGTTAACGGAGTGCACTCGATAACGGACGGAAAACTATGGCTTTAGGTCATACAGACTCTTGGTGTCAGCTCACCTTAAAAATCAATGTTTCCTATGCAGTATTAAACCTATATGACTTGCAGCTAGCGCTCCTAATATACTGAATCTATGGTTGATTTATGACTACAAATTTGAAGATGGTAGCAAATCAGACACGAAGCTCGCTGATGAAAGAAATAATACATATGTATATAAATGTTTTTCATTATATATATCATTTTTTCATCAGCTAATTAAATGCCCGTTGGCTCATCTTAAGGATAAATGTTCTACAAATTATGCAAATATGTGTTTCAAATAGGTAGAACCGCTGTCTCGGTTATTCAAGAGTATGTGCAAATATTAACATTATGTGATATCTATACGTGTATCGTCCTTTGGTATCGTATGGTAGGCGATTCTTTATTCATATCGTTCGGATACACGCAGAAGGTTCGAAAGTGACCGGTGCGCCGCAATGCGTTTTATGTCATTATATAAATATACTCCTTGGCCTTCGTCCTTTCTTTTTCTTTCTGCAGCTCGGTTCTTCATTCAGTGGGCCGCTATCCGTTTTTTTTTTTTCATTTCCAAACGTCTGCGTTATACATCCACAACAGCAATCATCAGATCCTGTTTCATCTGCGTTTAACGTCTAGACTGCTGTGCTTACGCAGTTGCCTGGGTGATGTTCCGTTTCCCATGCGGAGGATGTGACATGCCTATTTTTATCGGTCTATTAATTCAATCGAAATATTCCGATATCAGTTTTGTTTAGGGAATTCCGGAAAGCAATGCGTTTGATATAAAGTTGATTTATTTCTACATAAGCACTGTCTTTTCTCGTGAGGTTACTATATGCAGTTCTATAATAAGATTACTGAAGACCGCCATAGTATTGACGGAAGAATCAAGCTGATTTTTTTCAGCATTTGACGTCAAACAGACATATGTCGTAGGGAAGCAATATATATTCGAATACATCTTTGACTGGTTCTTATTTTTGACTCGCTCTAAAGTGTTTTTTTTTTTTTTTCATACTTCCAGTTACTGTTGTCTTCATTACTTCTGTCTAGAATCCCTGTGTAACTTGAGTAAAAGACCTACAGTGTATATTTTTATATTATACAATGTATCTACTGATCTCAGAGTTAATAGCACAGCTGCTAAACCACGTGGAAATAAATTGTGACTGATATTTGTACATACATACATACAGGAAAACTTGCCGGCATACAGTTTCAGGGGATATCAGTGTAATTGTGGTTAATATTTTCATTGTCGTACACAACCATTTATATAGTACAGTCGTGCCAAATCTCCTTGTATCAACAAGCAATGCTAGTGCCACACGGTAACCGAAACAATGGACGCTACAGTGATATTGGCGCCCGCTTCTGATTTATCTTAATTGCTTCTATTGAAGACTAATCTTTTATCTACTTTCCAATTTTCCTCTTAATCATTTTAAAGCAGAAGAGAATCTTACATATGAAATTAAACAAAAACAATCTAACAAAAATTTTCACAGAAATTGTTATTAATTCAACTCCCAAAAGCTAATATGGTCTCCGGTCAGCCTTTTCTTCTTTCTTCGGCAGATGAAAAAATTGAATGATCAGATTTCGGGACCAAGGTAAACATACACTTCAGGTTTAAGGAATGTCTATTCATATCAGTGCTCCTCAAGAGATAGGATAACAAATTTCAATTGTCAAAATCCAAGATGGCTTTCTATCGCCCATTTTGTTTCATTGCTCAGATTCAAAACTGAATGGGCACAATTTAGGACAGAAGGAAACCTTTATACGTGTAGTAAATTCAATTATCAAGAAATTGCGACAGCAAACATTTTCAGTTCAATTGTGAACACCGAAGATGGTTCTCTATCGGCCATTTTATGTCACTGATCATCTGTTGATGGTAAAAAATAAAAATGGATTAATGCAACTGTAACAGATAACTCAACGTCAGTATTTTAGGACACCTCGTTTGGAATTTTTACCTGGACTAATTCTTCATAGTAATATAGAAAGTGATTTGCTTTTCAAAGTAATATCTTTATGCAAGGTACTCGGGGCACTGTATCATACTTCATTTAATCAAGCTACAAAACAAATATGATGACTGTATTCTTAAATACTTTTTTGAAACCCATTTCAGGTGGGTAAAGTAACTCTGACATAAGGAAATGTGAGAATGAACAAAGCAGTATTATTTATATTTAGGATCATGTTGCAGTAGGTGAGCTTATAATTCTTTGGTAGATTATCTTTCCTACATCAAATCGGAAACTATTTTTGTCCTGTGTGTCTTTTTTTTCATAAAATACATCTAAAATACACTGTTCAACTTTGTTATACAGCTGTTCCAGCATTAAATAAGAAAATCCAGGTGTATCCATTGTTCATTTATTTGCTAAGAAAACTCATAAAAGATTTCAAAAAAGGGAGATAATTCGTAAAACCTACATTGTAATTGTGAATATATAAAGGCCATCAAATGTCTGAATTTTTTCATAATTGTACATTGTATATATACATATATGTCCCTTAGTGCAAGAAAAATAAGGGAAAAAACATAAAATGTCTCATTAATTTTATTAATGTATTTTCAATATTGGTTATGATATTTCATAAATGCAACATGTACATGACATATCACACTATATTTTCAACATTGTATTTTTTTATGATTGAAAACCCAAGTGTCAATTACATATCATCATCAAAGTTTTTCTCCATAGAGGATTTCAAAATTGCACTCTACCCACAACTGACAAATGTATACGCTCTCATCAAGCAAACTTAGTCCAGAAAGTGGCTGTAGATTAAAATATGTCTGTGCACTTCTTTCTCTCTCTCCCAGAAAATTATGGTATATATATCTTTGTATTCTAATCTGTCATGACACTGGTGACTTGTAAACAGCCATGGTCACATCAGATTCACTTTTTATCAAAATAGTTCTGAAAAGAAAAGAAAAACCTTGTAAATTTAAGAATTTTAAGATTAGGTATAAGACTATTGACTTATATTCATTAATAAATTAACTGACCACAAAGTCTTGATATAAGGATCGTACAGGTAGCATTGCACACATACATATCGGTTATTGTAAAATCAAAATGTTGTCAACTCTTCTAAACAATAATACATAGTGGTCAAATGAATTCCAGAAAACAAAAAATGATATTTAAGCTATATCTATCAGTGTAACATATATATATATATATATATATATATAAAAATATGTAAATGTATATACTAGCCAAATATCATGGCTCTTAGCCTTTTAGTTCATGAGAAGAAGTCATTAAAATGTTTTTAAAAATTTGATCCATGTGACCTTGAACATAGGTTAAGGTAATTTATTTTTCAAAATATCTAAATTATTTTTTTAGTAAAGCTAGCTCCAAATATTGTAGTTAAGAGCAATTTTGTACAACGACAAGAACAGTAAAATTAGAATTTTGTTTTCCAGAAGGGTGAAGAGAAATACATGTAGAGTGACAATGAAATTTTCCATGATGCAAGCAGGAAAACATCTTGAAAAAATAACAAAGACAATCCAGTGAGAATTGCCTGTGGTTACATGTAAATTGTATACCCGTACCCTCCATCTGCCTCTATAGCTATAACCGGGCTGGGATTAACAGGATGCAACTGCTGTGCTTGTCTGGCAAGACTGGCTAACTGTCCAGCAGCTTCCCTCTGGGCAATCCCCTTGGCTGTTAAGTAGACAAACTCCGTAATTATCATGTGTATTTCCTTACATTTAACTATTACAATAAAAGTTTTTCTATCAGTCATTTAAGAACAGATTATACATGTCTCTTTCAATTCAATTTTATGATATCTATTGTTATAGTATCTATTTTTAGGTATTTTTTTGTGGTATCAATTTTTATGGTATCTATTTTGTCAATATATTCCATCCTCAAAAATAGCGAAAATATATAAGGCCAAAAATGTCAATCTTTACAGTATAACATAGAAATCAGCAACAGATATGGGCAATAAGTCTGTATTTTTATCCGAATAGTATGGTAATTAATGTAACACATTAAAAATTTGGATTCACATCAAAGTCTGTACTAACCTACATTAATGGAGATAGACTTGCATCTGTAGATCTGTAGAATTTAAAAGATGATGCTGACATTTCCTATATATAGACCAGAAATCTGACCATCATTGATATGAAGATCTTAAATTGATTCTATGTGTGAAGAATGTATTAGGTTTGTGTAGCTTGAGAGTAAGAATTCCATCTGTAAATACATTAATGTAAACACAAACTTACATGATAGACAAAGACCGTGTTCATCAGCACATAATACTCCTGCGACACCAGGGACTCGGAACCTGTGAAAATATTCAGTATTAGAATTGTGATAGAGTGTAAATATACCATAAATATATGAAAAAGCACAAAAGCACTGACAACAACAGAAAACTAGTCAAGGAAGAAAGAAGCAAATTAAATGTTATCCAACGACTAAACGCTCAGTATTGTTGTGATGAAGTTGTCAATATTTCCTAGTATGGTCAGTTTTCAGTAAGTCAAATAATGTGTGTATTTCATATTACCAATATTCTTGACATTATAAGAACCTTCTAGATTTTTTTAATGTCTTTATATATTTATTAGTAGATTATTCCTTCATACATGGTCCAAGTTCGTGCTGATGAATATCTTGAATTTTAATATTCTTATCTAAAATAAATTTACATTGCATTTAACTTGTTAAGTTCTATGATTGGTAAAGGGGTTTGGTGGCTGTTCAAAATTCCTAACAACATGCACAAGTCTTGTGCCAAAGAGGAATATATCACTGGACAAAAATGAATGAATATAAATATGAAAAAGAAATCAAAATTGTCTAATTCAAACCAATGCCACTAATTAGAGAAGCACAATTCCATGTCAATAAATGGGATGAAAATGATGGAGAGGACCTCCAGACAAGATGAACAAGAGGCACAACAGCCTTAATTGGTCACCTGAGTTACTCTGCTGTTGTTGTTTTGGTGACATATCACAGAAATAATCTTTCTAATGAAGCAAGAAAATATGAACTACATTGTAATGCAAATGTAAATTGTGCACAACATCATCTGCCATCTCATGGTAAAGCTTCTAACCACCTTTGTATTAAAAGAAATTCCACTCAAAAATATAACTTTCTGTCGGAAGCTCTTCAATCCATGAACAGCACTTTAATCAATAGATTCTGTCATATCTGGGAATTGAAAAGATCTGGAAATTTAAGACACATCAACCCCTTTTGGCCTCCCCCATCAGCCTCTTGGAGCCAGTCAGGATCAATCGAATCATGTCGCCAAACTTTCAGCTTACATTAACAATTCTAAACAAATATGAACTATTTCCAAGAGAAAGTAAACAAATTATGCTCAAAATGCAATTTCCCTATATAAGCTGAAGTAAAATTTACTCCCTACCCAGGGGGAAATGTGAGATATTTGGGTCATGGAATTTACAATTTTGGTAACGCAATGTAAGACATGTCCATCCATAAATAGTATTTGGTTCTACTTTAACTAGGTATAGAGAAGAATGTTTTTAAAATTTCAGTCAATTTGACTCTTTTTGGCCCCATCCATCAGCTCTTGAGGGTCAGACAGGGTCAATATTTTTGTGCACCTTTGGCCATAGAAGGTTTCTATAAAATTTCATAGATAGAAAATGGTTCAGGGGTTTTCGGGAAGAGTTGAAAATGCAAAATGTTTACTACACTAAGTGTGAAATACTTTAGAAGAGCTATTGCCCTTGTTTTTTTGTTGGGGGGGGGGGGGGGGGATTTTAATCTTATTTGAAGATTTTTCAGTTTTTTACCCTTTAACACTTGGTACGTTTTATCACTGAAATAGGACTAGGAGTTTTAGGAGAGAAACTGCTATCTGTTCTTTCAAATTTTTAAAGTTAGAACGTTTTCCCCATCGTTCTCTTTTAACCACCATATTTGCTCTGAATTATACAAACTTTAACAAATCTTGAACTGCCAAATCCCCGATGGTTGCTTGCCAGTTATTTTTGTCTTTCTAATCAGGTCTCAAATCAAAAGAGCACAACTAGGTACAAAGGAAATATACAGATGATATTTGAAAAAGATCAATCTAGTTTTTCTCAAGTAACGGTTATAATACAATTTCATTGTAAAAATAAAAATTCAAGATGGCCACTTGTTGATTATATTATTTCCAGATCAGTTCGAAAATGGGACAGTGCACAACTATGAACCGAGAGGTTTTTACATAAGAAATGTGTGAATGATCTATCCAGCACTACTTCAAAAATAGTGTTAATACACTATTTTTGTCAAAATCCAAGTTAGCCACTTGTCTGCAATGGTAATCTTCAAATCAGTCCTAAGAGGGGACAAAACAAATAAGGGACCAAGCAGCGATTGCCACTTATGAAACTTGAAAAAGATCCATCTAGTACTTTCCTAGAAATGGCAATAACAAACTATTACAGTACTGTAAAAATCAAAGACGGATGCCTGTTGGCCATGTTTGTTTTGGGGATCAGTCTGAAAATGAGACACTGTACAACTAGGGACCTAAGGGAACCAACAACAGATGGAAATGAAGAATGATCCATTGAGTACATTGCCAGAAATAGTGATAACATACTATTACGGTCAAAATCAAGGTGGCCACCTCTCAGTCAGGTTGTTTTCGTAATTAGTTAAACAATAGTATGATGCACAACTAGGGACCAATGGGTGTGCACATAAAAAATTTTCAAAATACTTTGAGTTAGTCAGTCTTGCTTGTAAACCAAAGTGTTTAAGGTATATTTCAACGAGAGGTACAGATGATAAATGCGAAGTAGACGGCTCAGAAAATGGGAAAAACCTTGAGACGTCTAAAGACAGACAAACAACGAACTTTAAGAGAAATTGTCGACAAATATTACTATTGTGTTGCCTTCTACTGTGGCTACCAGGATTGTTATGTGATTGTGCTTTCATGGATCTACAAGGGTACAATATGTTACTAAATTACAGCCTAAAATGAGGAGTAATTTAGGTTTACATTTAACATTTAGACATCCTGTACAGATGCGTTTGTTTATCGTGGAGTAATGCCGTGCCACCTGGACTGTTTCTGTCACGGTATGCGACTTACACTAACAGGCTCGTGATCACAATTCCCTCCCCTCACACCTACTAAAGAATGAGGCAATTTGTCATCATGAAACTTTACATGCTTTCGACAGAAAATATCTAATTTGCAATATATATATATATAAGTGCATATTAAAATGTCGTACGTTTCATCCATAGATCTCTCTAGTGTCTTTTCCATTATTCTTGTTGATTTGTTTAGCTCTACACTTGTTTCAGTTCGGAAAATTTAACCGGAAGTAAATATTCGTTAGTTTCTTTCTACCTCCATACTGGGGTCACATTAGAGAGTTCCAACATAATTCGCTTCATAAGAAAACATACGTTTAATATTTTGAAATGGAATTCACAATGTTATCAACACGAAAACGGCTCAGGTACAGGTATATTTTGTTATTTCGTTCATGAATGTAATTCTCCAATATGAATAATGATAATCAGATTATGATAAGCCTTCTAAGTGAGACGACTTTCAATTGTTCCAATGGCAATTTTGAAATAGTTCAGACATCACTCATCATCACGATATCGTGCAATTAGTTAATATGATACCTGGCTGTCCTTCTTGTGAAGTCAACCGCTACCGACAACTGAACCATGTATATGCGACATATAAACGTACGATAGTGTGGATTAACTTATCATCTCAAAATCTTGTATTGTTAAACAGTTATCCGGTTAAAACCTAAAACAGTAGATCTATACACTTGTACAATAGCAGAAGCTACGAAAGATACAATGCTACAGCTTTGTGTTACATATACGATGGATAAGTTTATGTATGTAAAGGTGTATCAATATGGTTACATGTATGTTAAGTAGATCATATTGATATGAAAACGACAAAGGGGGGAAAATGAAACATAATTTAACAGCATATAATAGTGGCTGATATTTAATGTTTTCATATTTTTGTCATAAAATATTAGATTAATTTACCTCCACCAAAAAAAAATCTTTGTTTTTTTTTCTCGAGTGATTTTAAAGCAGCCTGTACCTTCATAAACTGGAAAATATGGTATGATTTTCTTAAAAATTGGAAAATATTCTTTGATGTTGCTTCATTTGGGAACATACCTCATTGTGGGGAATTAGCTTTAAAACAATGCAAAGATCACTGTTAGTCACTGAAACAAGGCATATATATTACATATATTAAATTTGTACAAGTATGTGCAGTATACATACCAGCTCAACGGGTACTTATTTGGATGCTAGGTTTCTGATCTTAACTTATCTATTTGTGTATTGTGTGTGTGTGTGTTTTCTTTTTTTTTTAATTTTGTCTTGCACAATAATGAAATTGTTGAAAGATGGTCATGATCAGAACTTTGGGACTAGTATGTAAGACTTAAGTATTTGTATTATAATCAGCATGCATCTTATAACTTATGGTAGACAGTGTTCCAGCAGTGCTTTTACATTTTTTTTTGTGTATAAAGAACTCCTAAGATATTTTTCTGGCATCTTTACCTTATTGATATGATCTGTGTTAACCAATCTAACCTACATGTATTCTTGCGTTTTAACAATTAATGTTCTTGCTGATACCTATACCCACGAAAAGTATGCATTGATGAGAATAGGTACTCTGTACTGGCTAAAAATATATATGATGTACTGGGAGGTAGGTTGTCTGTCCAGTGTTTATTCAACATTCTTCAACAATTTCTTTAAAATACTACTAGTCATGAATGACTAAGGGAATTTTGATTAAATTTGATCAGAAGTATCCTTGGAAGAAGATTCAATTCTTTTATGAAAGGGGAAATAGAGCAAATTCTTTAAAATCCTTCTTCTACTGTAGGAATATCTGGATTCTGTTCAGATATGGTCTGGAAATCTGAGGGTGAATTTGAATCAATTTTGTATATACAGTAGGTAACAGTCGAGGGGATGGGAGGGGCAGTGCCCAATATAGGAGATAGAGTAAATTATTTAAAATCCTTCTTTTGGAATGGCAGGATTCAGTCTAAAGCATTTTTGGATGAAGGAGGCTTTTGTCTACCATTGAATGTAAATGGTTCCTTCTGACCCCCTTGGGTTAGAAAAGGGGGGTCAAAAAGGGAAATAGATATAAACCTAAGCTATGCCTTTTCTTTAAGTTTGGATGAAGAAATTTCTGCCAAATAAAGGCAGGTACATAAGCTATACAGGCCTTTATGGGCCTCCTGTTTTAAGAAAATTAAAGTATATTCTTGTATCATTAATGTGTAACTTAAAGTTATATTAATTATCAAATAAAGAAGATTTATTTAGGGAGATGATAAGAAAAGTTTATTTTCAATTAGCACTATTGATAAAGTATGTAAGTCTTAAAGTGAAATTCTCTGGATTATGATTTTGTTTATGCATACCGTATTTCTCCGCCAATTAGCCCAGGGGGCCTGTGCATGAAATTGAGTAAAGAGTAGGGGGTGGGCTTATTGCCGAATAAGAGCCTATACCTGACCGATATCCTCGGTCGCCATCTTGGATTTTTCACTACTGTTATCGATGATACGGTAGTTTAAATGTCTAGAAGTACAGAAAAGCATAATAACCATATTAGTACTATATTTTTTCCTGCATAAAGACACTGGAATATATCATCAGACCTGAAACTGAAAACTACTGAATGCATAATAGTTCATAACCTCATGAACACATGTATTTTCTCTTTTTCAGATGATGTTGAAAGGCTCCGAGAATATCCTTGAATATTTGCTAAAGATTTAAAATGGGGAGGAAAAAACTTACAAGGAACATCAAGCGCCAAAAACTAACAACAATGTTGTTTATTTGAAAGACTGTGTAGGCCGAGATTTATATCAACAGAATGTGAAACAAAAACGCACACGTTTCAGAAGTTGCAATCACTTGCAGTTTCATATAAAAGATAATGTAATATTTTTTTTAATCATATCAATTTCTTGGTTGTGAATTTACCATATATGGTGCATGTTTCTATAAGCTTATTATACATAAATTTATATTTATTATGTCCATTTTGACATTTAGAATGCTGGTGTTTTATGCCATCCAAAAACAAAGGTTGTTATTTTTTCAATTATTTTGTGAGTTGTGAATTCAATTTCATCATGTCTGTAACGGTTAATGGAAGTGGTAACACAAGCAACGGCTATGGTAACCATGATGATGGTGCTGCTGACCTTGGCGATGACCCAGTGGTGATTGACAATAGTGGTCATGGGCATCAAGACAGGGTGAAAAGGAAGGGTTGTGCAAGGCAGTTATCTACTGTTCCCAATGACAAATATTTATGTCAGAAGGACTCCAAGACATCAGAGTTATGTACTTCTAGCTCATTCCACTACTCAGCTGACCAGGGAATATGTTCTATGGACTCCAGAAATGAGAGCTCATATGCTCGTCAGTTGGAGTCAGAATGGAAAGAACCCGATCAGCATCACAGAAATGCTTGCACCTGTGCTGCAGACAGTGGTAATGTTGATGATGGAGAGGAAATGGATGGGAATGTTTCTCCAGACAGTGCAGACATGGTATTTAATAGAATTGATCAAGACCCGTCGGACCCTGGTTGGGAGTTCAGGTCCACTTGTCCCGTAACGTCCTGGGGTCATTTTTCAAAGAGTCGTAAAGAACAATACAAATACAGACGCAGTGACTATTCAAGTGACAGTGAAGATGACTCTTCTAATAAGACAACTGTACAGCCTCTATCTCCATCAGATGGAGAAAATATACAGCGATCACACCTTCCAATGTGCGACCTCACTCTTAGTCCACTCCTCAACGTTTCGCAGAAAAAGAAGGAAGTTATCCCAAATGGTAGCTCCAGACTTAGTTGTAGAAATAAAGATGGAGTGAAACCTGCTGTTTTTAAAGAGAAAATTGCGGTAAGAATTGCTTTGATTTGTTTATGATTCTCATTGGTTCCAGATGTTGAAATGTGTGTTACTTTCATGGTTTACCAGTTTTGTTGAACCTACATGTAAATTAATCTATGGTATTTATATGTTAACACACAGCCTTGATTCTAGGTTTAATATGGTGCAAGGACTGTGCTGAAAGTATAACATATATATGTAGGACATACAAATATATAATAGTTATGTTGTGATTCAGTTGGCATCATCTTGTTTTTCTAAAAATGATCCACTATATATTAACAGAGTTATGGCCCTTTGTTTCTTCTGATACAGTACCATGTATTGTCCTCATGCTTCATATTCTGATTTTGATTCATGTTACTTTCGTTGTTTGTTTGTTTTTTATAGAGGTAAATTATCACATGCATAATGCAGTTTTATTTTGATGAAGTTGATTTCTTCTCACTAGTTATATTCTATTTGATCTGTTAATAAGTTCATATTAATTCAAAAGAATATGACCATTTTCATATGATATAATAAAAGTTTTCTTAAAGGCAAAACTAATGTAATACATACGAAAAACATCTTTTCTTGGATAGTAGCAAAAAATTATAATGTTTTTATCTGATACTTTTGAAATCGATTCCCCCCCCACCCCCCCCCCCCCCCCAAAAAAAAAGAAAAAGATAATTATTGATGTTATCTATCCAGTGCGTGATGTGACCCTGTGGGAACAATTTTTCAGAATATTTAATAATTTATGACAGATCTGAGCTTTATATCAGCAAGATGAAGGATGGAATTTGTCCATGCTATCAATTATGCCTTTTGGTCTTTAGCTATCTGTAATCATGCTCGTCTGAAGTGTGATTATGCATGTGTATGTAATTATACTATCCATTAAGTTTACATGTATACTGTAAATATCATCCATGGTGTTGACATGCACATCCACTGGTAAACCAGTTGGTAATTTTTCATTCCCTGTTCTGAATATTTGATTACAGACTGTATAACTATCTCTGAGTTTATGAGAACATAAATTCTATTTTTTTGTTTATGTATGTAATTTTATGATATTGAATTATTAAAATAGAAACTTTCTATCCCATTCGGCTTTTGATGAGAGATAATTAAATATGATTTATTTCATCAATGTGATTACTGGCCTGGAAACCTTTGTGATCTGCAGCTTGTATATTTATATATCAAAGATTGAATTATAAAACACACACATGCATGAGCTTAATTTAAATATGATAAATTATGTACAGATATATGAATTTCCTTTAATTTCAAAATTAATGATAAGTTATGCCAATTCAAACATGCATGTTATAATTATGCCCATTTTTATAACATATTTTACAGACTATACTTAGATGGTTCAATGACTGCAGTGATTCGCAAAAGAACATGATTATAAAGGGAATGCTGGTGAGTACATTTTAAATCTGTATATCATAACATCATATTGTCAACACGTTTAGGATTATATGTTAACTATACATCATTTCCATATGACATTTGCTTTCATGAGTATCCATAGACTTTAATCTCTTTAATGAACGTTCTTTTTCAATTACACATAGATTTAGATTCATTATCATTGTTTAAGCAAAGCACATATATCATAGACAAGTATGTCTGTGCTGAGATATTTTTATAAGCCATTATCTGTAATTGGCTGTCTCTGATTTTATCTGTATATAATTGACTGTCTCGCATAACATGTGCATATGATTACAGTATTGCAAAGTCACTATATAAACAGGAACACACAATAGAAAATTGATATTTGATGCTTTTAATTTTTTTTCGTGATTATTTGTCTCTGTGTTGAAAGAAAATTATTTTTTATATATATGACTGATACTTTTTACATAACGAATGTTCTGTCAATGTTAAAGACAGTCTCCAGATTTAAGGATGTATTTATTCATTAAAGTAAACTCCACTTTTCACAAAGTCTGATTTAAGGAAATTCCGATGTTTAAAATCTCCAGATCTCCAGATTCAAGAATGCAGTTAGTTATAATTATTAAAGTATACACAACTGAATTTAGGTCATTTTGATGTTTAAAATTTTCTCAAGGAACAGGAGGAAGTCCTCGGCTAGGATGTCCTGAAATTCCTTGAGGAATTTTCATACAAGATATTTTCAAGGAGATATTAGCTGAGGAAAATCTGGGCTTGAGAAAATCTGAAATTGAGATATTTTATACAAGTGGGGCAAGGTCTCCAGATACAAGAGTGCAGTTAGTCATAATTATTAAAGTATAGTCCACATTTCACAGTCTGATTTAAGGAAATTTTGATGTTTAAAGTCTTGGAAAGAAAAACATTATATATTATATACACATTGCTATTGACTAGGGTTATCGATAAGAAAGATATATTTAATGTATTTAAATTAGAAACTGTTTACAAGGTGTTGTTAAATGCATTGGAACATTTCTGGTAGATTGAAAGATAAAGAAAAAGTAGGAAAACTGAAGAACCAAGCTAATTTACTTGCATTTACATCTTGTTTCCTGAATATACCAATTGAATGTTGAGACAGGATGCACATGAAGGGTGTGTTCCAAATTGGTCAGTCGTATGTGTAGTCTTAAACTGTAAAATTATGTTATGTTGACTTGTATGAGATCTAGGTATCAAATATCCGTAAGCCACCTTAATAAGGTACAGCACAAATGGTGTACACATGTACTTCCTGTCCATAGAAGGAAATCGCCCTTGAAACCGCCATACTAAACACATACACAATTATGAATATGACACGCTGACAGATCGAGGGTAATGCTGAGTGTGACCAATTAGTTTTAATTAATATTCTGGATATAACAGAGGGGAAGTGACATGATATGCTGTCAGAGAGAATTAGCAACCTTCAGCTACAGGAAGGTAAAGTTTATCACTGTGTAAGGGTAATGTTTTCATCGCAAGACTGAGCATTCTGAATGTCGGACATACACAAATCCGGTCAAGAACGAATCGACCATGCATCTGAATGTTTCTTGGCCTGTGGTTATAGGACGGTACCTGATACATGTGTACATATCCCCGGTTCTAGTATATTTGTTTTTGAAACTATGAGTTCTGTTTCTTTTTTAAGCTTACATTTAATATGTTCACTTATGTAATTATGAACTTCTATGATATACCCTATAAGTTTAATAGAACATATGTGATTCTACCTGATATCCAAAATACCAGCATCATATTATGTAATATGTACTTTTAACATATATATGTCATCATGTAATTCTGCCTGATATCCAAAATGCCAGCATCATATTATGTAATATGTACTTTTAACATATGTATGTCATTATGTGATTCTGCCTGATATCCAAAATACCAGCATCATATTATGTAATATGTACTTTTAACATATGTATGTCATCATGTGATTCTACCTGATATCCAAAATACCAGCATCATATTATGTAATATGTACTTATCACATATTTATGTCATCGACTGTCGATCTGGGCTTGAACCAATGCTTAATAGAGCATTTAATCGATGACTAATATTCGAAATCTCAGTGTTAGAGATAAAGTAGCTTGCCGTGTTTTTGACTGGCATAAGCAAACTTTAATTGTATTGATGATATAACACTGTGTCATATTTGTACTTTTTGTTACAGAGGGACTGTGATCTTCCCCAGCTACACCTGTTGTCTGTGAAAATGGGCCCCAATCTTCATCGGGGTTGTCCTCCCAACTGCCAAGACATCATTACTTGGCTTCCACCAGATATAGCCAGTAAAATTATGTCTTTCCTTGATCCAGGTAAACATTCTTAAAATGCTCAAGACTTTATATGTTTGTATTTGTAATCCACTGGCAAGTGCTGATTAGCAATACTGCACAGTACTATGATATAACCATATTGTGCATGAAAGTAAGTGTGGACTTTTAAACTGTACAACAAACGCTTATTTGATTGAACGCTGATTGAGATTGAAAAGATCAGCCCTTACAAAAACTTACAGCTTTAAAAGATAGGTATATATATAAGATATTTATTCTGGTGTGTAACTGTAAGACTTAGTAAGAATAGCACAAAATTCCTCATTAGTAAGAATAGCACAAAATTCCTCAAGTTTGGACAAACTAGCTGTTATGTATAAGTGTAGTTCACCTTAAAATGTCTGAATGAGAAAATGTTTTAAGTTAGTTGTTAGATATCAATAAGATTTTAATATACAATGTGGGTGTAACTGTAGACCACTGATCATAGATCTGTAGTGTAATCAGGTTTATCATAAGTCATTACACAGTCAGAATAACTTACTTATGTATGTAGTGACAAGATGTGGTTAGATATAGTCTGTATAACTGTTGTTGTAATGAGTTCGTGCCTTGGTCATGTATGTAGTGACAAGATGTGGTTAGATATAACTCGTACAATTGTTGTTGTAATGAGTTCATGCCTTGGTCATGTATGTAGTGACAAGATGTGGTTAGATATAGCTCGTACAATTGTTGTTGTAATGAGTTCGTGCCTTGGTCATGTATGTAGTGACAAGATGTGGTTAGATATAGTTTGTATAACTGTTGTTGTAATGAGTTCGTGCCTTGGTCATGTATGTAGTGACAAGATGTGGTTAGATATAGTCTGTATAACTGTTGTTGTAATGAGTTCATGTCTTGGTCATGTATGTAGTGACAAGATGTGGTTAGATATAGTTTGTATAACTGTTGTTGTAATGAGTTCATGTCTTGGTCCTGTATGTACTGACAAGATGTGGTCAGATATAGTTCGTACAACTGTTGTTGTAATGAGTTCGTGCCTTGGTTTTTTTATAATGGAGTTTGTATAACTCCTCCTGTATTGAGGTTGCTATTAATACATAGAGTAAAAGTATAGTTATTGTTCCAGTGAATTTGTACTATGATTACACTGAGTTTGTACTATGATAACATTGAGTTTGTACAATGATTACATTGAGTTTGTATTATAATAACATTGAGTTTGTACTATGATGACATTGAGTTTGTACTATGATAACATTGAGTTTGTACTATGATAACATTGAGTTTGTACTATGATAACATTGAGTTTGTACTATGATGACATTGAGTTTGTACTATGATAACATTGAGTTTGTACTATGATTATGCTGATTTTGTACAATTCATATTCCTATGAATATGCCCTATGATTACAATTGTTACAAATCCTGGTCCAATGAGTTTACGCTCTTGTTATGCTGAGTCTGTCTTATTCCTGTTTCAGTGAGTTTGTGCCATGCTGCTCAGGTATGTAAGGTGTGGCGACATGTTGCAGAGGAAGCCTCTTTTTGGCGGAAGTTCTGTTGTCAACCAAAATGGCGACTGTCTAAAGCTGCTGAACACCAGCAGGTTATTAGTCATATGTCATCAGAAGGAAGCATCATGGTTAGTATTGGTTCATGTAGAAATCTACAAAAATTATTGACTGAAATATTTACAGGAGTATTTCTCATACAGTAAACAGTAGTGATGGAGATGGGGGTGGAGGTAGAAGATGGGCTTGACAAAACGGGAATGTAGTAATGTATGAACATGTGGTCCCAACAGTTATACAGGTTTTTATGGAAATTACCTAGTTTAGAGATACAGTATAGTTTATTAAAAAAACGACAATGAAACAGAAGTGTTTTCATACAGCTTATTTTATCAGAAACAGCACATAAACAGAGAATATTTCATACCTGTGATACATATTGTGTACAGCATAGTTTATCAGAAACAGCACATAAAATGGAGAATATTTATACATGTGATGCATATTGTGTACAGCATAGTTTATCAGAAACAGCACATAAAACGGAGAATATTTTCTACCTATTATATACATTGTATGTACTGCGAAGTTTATCAGAAATGATGCTGAAATAGAGAAGTTTTCATACTTTTCATATGCATTGTATATACAGCATAGTCTATTAGAAACAACACTGAAACAGATTTTTTCATACCTGTTATATAACAAAGAATGACTTAATGATAACCAGAGACAATAGAATGTATGTGTCACTGATTTAATACAATAGATATAGATATGATATAACATATAACATGAGCTTGTAGATTAAAACCTGATATACGAGTTGCTTATTGTTAATCAGTTGTGTGAGGTATAAAATTCTTTATCACTAAAATGCTTTACTGCCTTGTTCTAGTGGAAGAAAGTTTTTGCTGAGCGCTTCCGTTTACGTAACAATTGGCTAAGTGGCAGATGTACAGTGAGGACATTTGAAGGTCATTCTCAAGGTAACTTTGGTGAAACTTTTTTTGTCTATGTTATAAACAGGATATGAATATTTTAATATATGCAAGCAATATGACTGATCCTGTTTTCAAAGCTGTAGAATGTGTTAAGAGGAATTCAATTATTAGTATGAATTGTGTTCAAGTTCATTCTTATGATACGCTCAAGTAGAAAAGAAAATAGCTTCATATGTGCCTTGAGTCCTGCTCAGTTAACAACATTGTAGATTTATGTATGTGTTGCATGATAAAATGTCACAGACTTTGTCTGGATAAGAACGGTTTGCTATGCCCTTTATTGGTAATACCACAAGCACTGTAGCAGTAATTTCTTTTGTGCATTATGGCAATTTTGTATTTTTCTCAATCCAATAACTTTGATTTAAAATTTGCTAAAAGCTTATCATCGGCGACGATGTCTATTGATAATATGAGACTTATCATTTGAGTTTTGTCTGTATCATTAATTCACTAAATACCTGTTTAAAAAATTGATTTGCAGCCAGATGTCAGATGTTGATTTTCAGACCTTTTAAATGTGAAACAATGGTAAATATAAGTTTTCAAATTTCAGGTATATCATGTGTACAGTTTGACGATACTCGCATAAGTTCTAAATTTCAGGTATATCATGTGTACAGTTTGACGATACTCGCATAAGCTCTAAATTTCAGGTATATCATGTGTACAATTTGACGATACTCGCATCAGCTCTAAATTTCAGGTATATCATGTGTACAGTTTGACGATACTCGCATAAGCTCTAAATTTCAGGTATATCATGTGTACAATTTGACGATACTCGCATCAGCTCTAAATTTCAGGTATATCATGTGTACAGTTTGAGGATACTCACATAAGTTCTAAATTTCAGGTAGATCATGTGTACAATTTGACGATACTCGTATCAGCTCTAAATTTCAGATATATTATGTGTACAGTTTGAGGATACTCACATAAGTTCTAAATTTCAGGTATATCATGTGTAGTTTGAGGATACTCACATAAGTTCTAAATTTCAGGTATATCATGTGTACAGTTTGACGATACTCGCATAGTTAGTGGGTCCTCAGACAAGACAATCAAGGTAAGAACTTGATATTATAGGCAGATAATTTTATTTAATATGTGACAATAAAAAAATCTATGCTGATGATTAATTGATCAATGATTTTATATTGTCCTTATAAATATCTATTCTCACATTTCACATGTACTTCTGACAAGTTAGTCAAATGCATACTGATTTTTTACAAAGAAAAAACTGTCAATGAAAAGAGAATTTTTTCTTCACAACAGTTTGATGGACAGGTAGAATTGACTACTTCATGTATAATTTAAAGTTTTTCTGACCATGGAACTTTATTTTTCACATTTAAGAATGATTGTCAGATTTATTATAATTTCAAGTTTCATTTTAATGTATAACTGATGTCTGTACGTTTTTTTCATGTTACAGGTTTGGAACATTCGTACAAATGCTCCATGGTCAGTCCAAACTCTGGTAGGACACAGTGGGACAGTACGGTGTCTACACCTGGAAGGGAAACGACTTGTTAGTGGCTCCACAGACAAGTCAATCAAGGTACATAAGTCTGTCTATAGGATCAATACCAGGGAAACGTATTCCTTTAGATTTTTGTTCAAAGCACCATTCCTACATCAAGTTTAAATATATTGATGTAAATATTTGTTTCGTTCTGCAGAACAGTAATTTTAAGGTTGTGCATCCCATCAAATTTAACGGGATAAAATTCCCTGAAATTACCTTTATTTTAATGGTGGATATACTTGCATCACAATTAACACATAAAATACTTAAGTCACCATGATACTTTAACCACGATGGTTACATACAGGTACATACCTATGAATTACTGATCATGATTAGAAAAGATCAAACCAGATTATATTGATGCGTTTATTTCACTGTCTTATTTTACAGGTTTGGGACTTGTCTACTCAGGAGAGCTGGTCAAGTATTGCTTGCAAAGTTACCATGGTTGGACACACAGACACAGTCAGGTGTTTGCAGGTAAGTCGCATTGTAAAATGACAAGGGTGGGACACACAGACTCGGTCAGGTGGCTGTAGGCAAGTTACATTGTAAAATGTCCATGGTGGGACATACCAAACATAGTCAGATGTCTGCAGATAAGTCACATTGCAAGGTGATCATTGTTGCACTTACAGACACAGTCAGGTGACAGCAGGTAATTAAAGTCACATTGTAAAGTGGCTGTATTGCAATGCTCAGACAGGTAAGTCAAATATATGTTTCTCCGAAGTAAGTTCAAAGGTTTCCTACTGTGGGCACTTGCAAGAACAGAACATGCAAAACTGATGAAAAACTATCATCAAAAAGTAATGATTTTTACAGGGGTGAACAAATTTGTATCTGTGTCAGACAGATTTGGTTGGTTTAGTGTAGACTGTGGGTTATTCACAAATATTCACAGCTGTTAGCAGGTATGAGGAAATTAGCTCTTGAAGTCATGTATCTGAAATAAATCCCATTTATTGACAGGTGGACGATGACAAAGTGATCAGTGGGTCATACGACACAACGCTCAAGGTGTGGGATCTACGCACAGGTCACTGTAGGATGACCCTCAGGTGAGAGATTTTCAAAAGGAAAGCAATCATCTTTCCTCATCAATAACAGACTTACTTGCAATTGATATATATATATATATACCGGTACTTAATTTGTAAAGATGAATCTCCAGCTTCACACAATTATAACCTATAAAGTGGTTATTTCATGACTCTCAATCTATGTGGTGACATCACAGAAATCAGTGTCTGAATTCATAACTGCTTGGCAAACAAACTATAAGTTACCTGTGTATACTTTAAATATTAATGATATCAGTCTAACTAATATTGTCGTTAAATGGTCAATTGTTTTGTGTTTTAATATACATGAGTTGGTATAATTGTAGATGTTTGCTCTGTACAAATATTATTATATATTAATGATATTGGTTTGAGTCATTGATAAGATTTTGTGTTTTTTTTTCTGATGGTTTAGCAAGTCTCTGAATGTGATTCAAACAGCTTTCATAACAATCAGGGCCATTGATATAATCTGCAAGCTGGTACCTATTGTAAAACACCCAAAGTCACTTTTCCTTTTTCATGGAGAAGCATTACTCTTTAAAGAGAACAAAGGTTTTCCACCATGTTATAAGGAAACTGTCATTTCTATTATGACTGTTATTAGGATCAGTTCTAATTGGTTGACTTTTTTTCAGGGGACACTTAGCCGCAGTTTTGTGTGTCCACTTCAGTGACACCAAAATAGTGTCTGGATCATGTGACAAAGCCATCAAGGTAGGTCAAGGTACCAGGTAGCATATAATGTTAGCTAAAATTCCTCATATATATTTATATATGTACCTGTTTGATTTAGTACTATACAGTAGGTAAGCTATTCTTGTCGTCAAGACTGGAAGAAAACAATCTTTAGAAGGTTTTCTCCAAGTTGCAGCTACTATGCAATTATGCCCTATTATGAATCCTGGATGGTCATGGATGAATGAGTTATATGTCAAAATATCACCTGAGTATATGTAATGGTCACATACAAATTGCGTAAACTCTAAATTGGTCATTAAGGATAATTTATGATAGCAGGTAGCATATTTCAAGAAACAGACCATCAAAAACTGAGAAAAAAAATCACTGTCCTTATAGGAAAAGTAAAGCAAATTACAAGTTTTTGTCTTCAAACAAGTCAGTTTGGCACATCAGAAAGTTCACTACCAGATTTAGATATCTGCAAAAACAAGTGGTAGAGTATTTTCACTTCATATTATTCATTATATTATCTTGACAATATTGAAAATATTATCATTACCATCCATATACAAACACCCCTCTATATCTACCCTTAACAGTCGCATGAGATTCTGTTAAAAACATCTGTTTGTATGTACCAGCTCTGAGCTGAATATTGTGCACTTACTGTTCTTGAAGGTGTGGAACTACTTTGGGGACTGTGTGCGTACACTGACAGGTCACCAGGATGCTGTTACTTGTCTACAGTTTGACACAACACGCATTGTGAGTGGATCTCTTGACTGTAACCTCAAGTTCTGGGATATACACAGTGGAGAGTGTATGAATACCATTGACTGGAAGGCAGCTGAAGGTCACACAGGGGTTGTAAGGTGAGAAAATCACACAGGGTCTTAAGATGAGGTTACAAAAGGGTCATTATATGAAAGGGTCATACTGAGGTTTGAAGTTTATCAGGTCAATAGGTCAAAAGGTCATCTGGTGTTAGAAAGTAAAAAGGTTACACAATGTTTGTAAGGATAAAATAACACAGGGGTCATGAAGTGAGAGGAGAAGCAGGGGTCAGAGGGTGAGAAGGTCACGAAAGGTCATAAGATAGGATGGTCATATAGAAAGTGATCATACGGTGAAAAAGTCACACAGGGAGCACAAGATATGAGAGGGTAACAAAGGGTTTGTAAGGTCACTGAAGGAATAGGACCACTCAGGAGTAGTAAGATAAGAAGGTGAAACAGGTTTGTTAGCTACTTGAGAAACAAAACCCCCAACTGGTCAGGAAGCTTTCAACTGCACACCTTGAATCTTCACCTGATCTGGTAACATACAGGAGGCTGTCACATGCCATTCAGGGCAAATAAAGTGAAGTGTCTCGCTCATGGATACATGTTGTTGTGTGTTACAGGTGCCTACAAGCAGACAGTTGGCGACTTGTTAGTGCTGCTGATGACAAAACCATCAAGGTATTGAAGATCAATCAATCAATCAATCAATCAATCAATCAATATATCAATCAATAGTTATGTCACACATATCACTTCGCTTGTCATAGAAATATATAAATCCGTGTTTCTCACATAAATCATTAAAATAGAAATAGCTTATGAGATACATAAAGATCTCTAGAGCCTTCAGTTATTTAGATTCTTTATGATGGTGGAAATACATATGTAGCCTACAAAATGAGTATAGATCCACTGCAATCTTACACAGTATACTACAGTTAGATTATATCCAGTTTTTGATCTCTCATAGAAAAGGATTCTTCCAAGTATTTTCCATGACTAGTTGATTTTTTTCAGCTGAGGATGTCTTAAAAAATGTCACCCAGTATATGTTTGACATGTAATTTAAAGGATTTGCTTAATTGATCTTCTTGCTTTCATTAAGGGAGACTAATGTTTTGTGTTTCCAGGTATGGAATCTGGAGACAGGGAAGCGACTGGTTACACTTCGGAATCACACAGATGGTGTTACTTGTCTACAATTTAATGACTTCATCATTGTGTCAGGATCCTATGATAAAACTGTCAAACTCTGGGATTTTAGCTGCTGTTGACAATGGCTGATTGTTTCCTGCACAGGACAATGTATGACCAGCCATTATGGACTCCATGTGACAAGTTTAGATGTACGTCTACTGTTCATCAGTAGGCAATTTACTTCTGGACTTAACAGGAAAGTACCAATACATGTCTTCGAACCCAATACTCATGTGATCTGCCATGGGGATTGGAAGGGAATTTTTTTTTGGATACCTTAGAGAGATGTATTTTTTCCACAAATATTGGAACAATATGACTTGCTCATTTGATATAGATTTGTCATGTAAGGAATTCTTTTTATATTTTTGTTGATGATAGATTTCACGTAATTTGTCTACAAAATTAATATCATGTAGTACGTTATGTCCAGTGATGATCCGTTTCATCCCCGCCCACTCCCTCAAACACCTCCCTCAAAGGTCCTCCATTCACCCTCCTCTCAGGCTGTTTAACTTATGCCTCTCCCATCTGACTCCTAAATCTATTATTCCTTGTCATCATGCATAATCATTATCTGTATGCGGACTGCATATCACCTGAAGTCTTATTTTTCATGTTATAAGTCACTGGTGAATACCATACCCCTAGCAGCCCCCAGAGATGTATAGTTATTTTAACAAGTATTTATGAAAATCTAAAAAGTCTTGTGCTGATATATGAAGTATATATAGCTGCCAGTAATTGGTATCCTTGGTGAGATATTTGCATAATTTGTTTTAGATAAAAAGGCCAGTTTAGTTTTTGAAAGTAGTGAGAATTTCAAATATATTGTTATATTTTGCATTTTGGAAACAGCATTGATTTTGTTTTCTTGTGATTTTGCATAATGTATCTGTATGTGGGGTTATGAGTCTTGAGACTAATCATTGAGTGGTTCAGAAATTTTCTGGAGTATAGAACTTTACATTGACCTGAGATGTAATATGAGAGGGAAGAAGTTTATATGAATATTGAATAGAATTGCTTTCTGATCTGTCTGAAAGTTCAAAATGATGTAAATCAACTGAAGTGTTTGTGGTAGAAGATAGTGATGGTGTTTTAGTGGAACCAGTGATTGTATCTAGCTATAGTCATGTGGTACCTTCAGAGGCATTGGTGTCAGCTGTAGACATGTGGTACCTACAGAGGCAGTGGTGTCAGCTGTAGACATGTGGTACCTACAGAGGCAGTGGTCAGGTGGTGTGAGTTGCATTTATGTGGTACCTACAGAAACAGAGTTGTAAGCTGTAGTTGTGTTATACCTACATGGGCAGTGATGTTAACTGTAGTTATGTGTTTCCTACAAAGACAGTGCTGTAAGCTGTATATGTGTGGTACATATACCTACAGAGGCAGTGTTGTGAGGTGTGATGCATATGGAGACTGTGGTGTCAGCAATAGTCATGTGGTACCTACAGAGGCAGTGGTGTCAGCTATAGACATGTGGTACCTACAGAGGTCGTGGTGTCAGCTATAGACATGTGGTACCTACAGAGGCAGTGGTGTGAGCTATAGTCATGTGGTACCTACAGAGGTAGTTGTGTCAGCTATAGACATGTGGTACCTTCAGAGGCAGTGGTGTCAGCTATAGACATGTGGTGCCTTCAGAGGCAGTGGTGTGAGCTATAGACATGTGGTACCTACAGAGGCAGTGGTGTGAGCTATAGACATGTGGTGCCTTCAGAGGCAGTGGTGTGAGCTATAGACATGTGGTACCTACAGAGGCAGTGGTGTCAGCTATAGACATGTGGTACCTACAGAGGCAGTGGTGTGAGCTATAGTCATGTGGTACCTACAGAGGTAGTTGTGTCAGCTATAGACATGCGGTACATATGGAGGCAGTGGTGTCAGCTATAGACATGTGGTACCTACAGAGGTAGTTGTGTCAGCTATAGACATGTGGTACCTACAGAGGTAGTTGTGTCAGCTATAGACATGCGGTACATATGGAGGTCGTGGTGTCAGCTATAGTGATGTGATACTTACAGAGGCAGTGGTGTCAGCTATAGACATGTGGTACTTTTAGAAGCAGTAGTTGGAGTAATAGGCTTGTGGTATCTACTGTGACAATGGTGTGGTTTTGTAAGTCTCTTATTTGCTATGGTTGTGATTAACATTATAATCTTAATATAGAACCACTTACGTGTTTATTTGGGGACATCCAGTCTTGTTTTCCACATTAACAAGATATACCATACGACCAAACTCAATAGCATTATTTGCATTCAGTTCATAGTGATATAATTAATGTGAAAACAGTGTATAATACTTTTAATAACAACAAACTGCAGGTTGTGTTTGCTCATTTTATCATTCATCAAGACTATTTAGCTAACAATTAGTCTATATTTTATCTTACTGAAATTCTGTCTTCAGAGGCAATTTATGTATAGAAAGAATGATTCTTATTTTATTTAATCTAGTAAAACCTGTGAATTACAAATTTATGTCGGTCTCATATGTAAGACTTTTTCTGATTGGCTGATTTCAGGATATAATGATATCTTCGATGGATTTTCTCATGTATAGGATACTGCAATATTTACAATGTACATATAAATACCCGGTAACTTTCGATTTTAAATAGGAAAGGCGTAACCCTATTGTGGTTAGTCACAAGTGCTACAAACAACCCCTAAGACCTTACATATCATATATGTCAAGGTGAAAATGCCTTTGAGATGCACAGAATTTGTTTTGTTGAGTATATTTTTTGCGATGTATTAATTTTTTTACGAGTATTTTGATCCAGAACAGATCTTATATTCTATACTTTACAAGTTGCATTTGGTGGCTTTGAATCTATTTTTGGCATAGCATGACCTCAACTTTGACCTGACATCTATTTTGAATGTGTGTATAATCTATTCTATTTTCAATGGTTCCTTAAATACATGTAGCTGAAATAAATATTTTCTAACTGTAAGGTAAGACTGGTCCTATAGCAGTAATTTCTAATTACATTGTAGCTCAGTTTCAGTAAGTGAAATTTTCAACCCTCTGGTATTTGCTTCTTGCATTCATTTCAAACTTTTTTTTCATCAATAATTAAAGCTAGTCATTTAAGAATCAAACTAGAAATGAAGATATTCATTTCCGCAATGTTCTCTTCGGGGATAACCCTGGTCATAGCTAATGTTATCCGTATTTAGTTTGGTGTCTGCAAGACATACTAATGTTGACAAAAACTTTTTCTTCCGAGAGTTGAGATTGAAAAGTTTTCACATCCTTACTTGTAGAATGACTCAGTCTTTTAATAACATGACAGTTTGTATATATCAAATGAAAAATGGCACAATTTTATTTTCATAACCTATTTTCAACTTTGATATTTTTCAAATGGTTGTTTTACTATTTGAATTGCTCATTACTGGTACTTCATCATAGTAATAGATGTAAAATGTTTTTTAAATTTGTAAATCCCGACCAGAACACGGGGAAGAAATTTCCACTAATTCATCTCGCCCTGTAAGCACTGAACAGGCGACGATAAATTGTAAATAATTAGTATTTTAATTACTAGACAGTAGTGAACTGTATAGTGTATCTTTTATTATGAAATAACTAATAATGGTGCTTCTTATTGTTTATCACTATGGTTTATATACCCTATTTAATTATTGTTAAACATAGTTACGTTTCGTTGTTGTCTTTGTAACATTCTACAAAACATATTTCTTTATTTTTGTGTGTGATCGAGAATGTGTGCAGTAGTTTCCTTTATGTACCCCCATGTACTACTGTACATACTTTTTTTAGTTTTAAATTTTCTTACTTGTTAATCCTTGGTGCTTTTCTTTTACATACTCTGTACAGCTGTACCACTATTTATTATAACTGTATATAGCCTTACAGTCTTTATTATTTTTTACACAGTAATAGGCTCTGTTCTTCTTCACCTGATTGTAGCACAGATCACTATTGTATTTATAAACATGCACACTTTGTCTTTGAACTTTTAGATTTTTTCCCCTTTTTTCAATCCCGTAGAAACAGTATGCTACCATTCTTAAAACTTTCAGAGGTTTTGATGATTCTAAAATTCAGGAGCAGACATATTCTCTGTTTCATTTTACCTGAATTAACATTGGCAAACACTTAAACTGGCAGTGATCAATTTCACTTTGCAAATGACCATTAAGTACATATCTGTTAATCTCTGTACTTTTTAATTAATTATAGAATACTATAATAGTATTTACAGCAATATATTATTGCTATAATATTGCTTTATGGATTCACTAATGAAATGATTCTGCAGTTGGAAATATTGGACCAGATTGTACCTTTCTCATCCTTCCTTTATCTAATTTCACATAGAAGTGAATGAATAGAGCGTAAGACTTCTTCTAAAGAACTGCAAACCCTGGGTTCATGATATATGTAATCAGTATTTGATATGTGACCAACTGTCACATTTCTTCAAGCCAATTACCATGGTATTAATGGTTGTAAGTTTTAAAAGAACTTCTTCTAAGGAACAATTAAGCCTACATGCATGTTGTCATCAAGTTAGGTTATCAGTATTTTTTGCACAGATGCAGAAGTCAATAGTATTCAGATCAGCTTCATTATGTTTAGCATGTAGCCTACTGGGATATAAAAAGGAAGTGTTTAAATAAGAGAATCATTTAGACCCTGTTAAGTGTTTCATATTATCCTTGATCACTGATCCTCAATAAAGTCCTATTACTCTTGCCATCAATCTGGTCATTACACCTGTAGTTTTAAAACTAATATTTAGTGCTCACTAATTCTTCTTGCTATCCAATAACCTATTCATGATGTTTTCAACAATAATACGTACTATCAAATTACTTAATGATAAAAAAAGTCAGGCAGGTATTGTAAAACTGCTAACATATATGCATAACAGCATTTGAGAAGCATCTGGTCTTGTGTAAAATTTTTAAAGTAAAAAAAATAAATATTACAGGCTCTTATTCTATCTGGACCTCTAGACTATGCTGTGATCAAAATCAAAGGCAAAAATTGTAAATAGGAAGTGAAATGTACATGTTAGGTATTCTTGGTT